TGTTGAACATGTGGCAGGTTCGGCTGTAGTTGGATACACCGCTTTCAAAAGCTTGTGAAGATTGAGCATAAGTTTTGCTTATTTCTTAGGGGGTTTTTTTCCCCTTGTTTCACACCAATGATCAGGCATATTATTTTTAGTAAATGCACATGTCTTGTCATTACGTTTTTTTCCCTTCACTTTATGTCCAGTATCACACTTGTCTTTATTACTTTCTTTTCCACTACTGGCACAGATGGTAAGATATATTTTGTATTGTTTTGTTTTTCTTGAGTGCGTGTGCAAGACTAGTTGGATACATCGCTTTCAAAAGCTTGCAAAGTCTGAGCACATAAGTTTTGCTTATTTCTTTAGTCTCTATTCTTTCTTGCCAATGATCAGTTTGTACCTTTAAAACATGCACTATATAGCAGAGAGTGTGAACATGCATTACATTTTCCTATTTTTACCAAATCTTTTTTTCTTCAATATGAAAGCTTTTTTGTATACTCACTTAACATTTAATTGTTCTCAAACACTATAATCTTCCAGGCTATTGGAATATTTTATTATGGATGATTTAACAATTGATTTGAAAGAAATATAGACCTCATCTTTGACAGAAGGTTTCGATGCAGGGGCCATGTTGTTCCCCCACTCTATACATAGTTTTTAAACAAGTAGTACAAGCGCCTGTTAGTATTGTGCTGTGAGTCGTTATAGTACTAGATTTCTTACTTACCTTTATATCTTTTTAGCTGATTTTTTTACGATTGTATTTTTTAAAAGAATACTTATCCATGAAAGCCACTGGGTCTTTGTGCTTGAGTTGGAAATTATTTTTTTTTAAATAATTTTTTTTTTACGAAAAGGGAAATATACTTAATTTACCCTTTGGAGCGTCATTTACAAATACGTCCATGCGTTCGGCTGATTTATGTTTTATTTAAAGATACCGAGAGTGATCATCTCACTTCGTCCAAACATTACCAAACGCCGTTGCGAGTATCAACATAAGACTCACCAATGAATATAAACGCTCACTTTTCGAGACGTTGAACTCAGCTTCGAGGGTGTAAACTAATCACATGCAATTTTATAGCCAATGAAGGCAAGCGTAGTATTGAAGGTCACCCTGTACTCAAAGTCTGCATGCATCTTCTCTAAACGATATATTTTCTTGTACTGCCGAAATTCGAAAACCTTATATTTTTCTTTTTAATTCCTCGCCAAATGGACTGTTTTATATTGAAGCTATGTTGCTGGGATGGAGTCCTTGCCACCTTTGGTAATCGTCAGCAACAACAACAACAGCAGCAATAAAACGAACAGAACAACAACAACAACAAGAACAACAAGATGAAAATCCCAAACACACAGGCATACATGACACATGCGGGCGAGCGCAACAATAACAAAACTATTACAACAACAACAACAACAACAACAACAACAACAACAACAACAACAACAATAGCAACAACAGCAGCAACAACAACAACAAACCACCATGAAAAAGTTAATACGTATGCATACATCACACATGCAGACGAGCGCTTAAGAGCACGACAGTGCACATAAGTACTTTGATGCATAATATTATTATCGTTTAAGAAAAATGTAGTCTTACTACTATGATACTAACAAAACACCTAGAAGTAGTCTACTGATAACTTAAACAAATATGTCAAAAGCTTTCGTTTTTGTACACGGTAAGCTTTTGGGGTTTAAACATTGATGTGTTATTATGCTTTATAAAAATAACCAATAAGACAAATTAGTGACTTTTAGCAAGACATATGGGTTTGTTTTTATACTAAAGACTAGTAATTTAATACACTGTGAGCGTGTGTTTTGGAGTGATCGAGAGAGAGAGAGAGAGAGAGAGAGAGAGAGAGAAAGAGAGAGAGATAGAGAAGAGAGAGAGACAGAGAGAGAGACAGGCAGAGAGACAGAGAGAGAGAAAGCGAAAGAGAGAGAGAGAGAGAAAGAGAGAGAGAGAAAGAGAGAAAGAAAGAGACAGCTAGACAGAGAGAGACAGA